GCTTCAACGAAAGTAAAAACGCATTTTTCGGCAGCCAAAGAGCCGCTTATGAATTTGATATTGTCCGCCTGGACACATATAAATTATGCCGCGCAATGTCAAACAGAAACACAGAAAAAATTGCCCTTTTGTTGCCGCTTTATTTTTTGGCAGATCAACTTTGGGTGATAACAACAAAAGGCCAAAGACGAGACGAGAGTCAAAAAAAGCCAAGAGGCCGGACCAGTCGGCTTTTAAATACATCATAATAAAACCAAAAAAAGTAGCTTGGAATATTTATATATATATATATATATATATATATATATATATATTTACGTATATATGGAAAGCACCCAAAAGTCAGAAACGAAAGTTGTCTGGAAATGTCGCGTTCAACAACTTGTTGCTGTATTTTGGCCCTTGCCGAGAGCATGGCCTAAAGTCAAAAGCAAAAGTGATTGTGAAATGCCGGAGTCAGAGTCGGAAAGTCCGAAAGGTTTGAAAGTTAAGATACTCGAGGAAACCTACCCCACGCGGAAATGTCAGAGCCGCCGCACTGAACCCATAGAGCAGCCCCCCAGAAACCAAAAGCCCCTCCTGTCAGTCCTCATAAGCCGTCTCCTCAATTGGACAGTGAGACCCCGGATAAAAAGCCACAGCAGCAACATGTGCCCCTTGCCGATCGATTTAAGCTGACTTTGACACCACATCAGGGTCGTTTTGGGTGTTGGAACTGCCGCTGCCGATGGGGTGAGAAAAATTAGCCAGGGATACAATCAATTTGGGGAAATGCAGCGACTGCGACAAGGAAATAAACTTAGCCAGCGAAGGTCAAGAGCTGCAACATCAGCAATTTGTGGCATGAAGGTAGGCTAAGTGTGTTAAGTATTAGAGGTATTCCTTATCTGCCTTAAAACACACCATTTCGCAGCTTTATGCTTCCCAAGTAAAGTAAAAGTTACGAAAATTATATATTAAATAGAATATCAATGTTCACTTCGATTTGAGATTCTTGTACCCATCCCCTTAAACATCTGCAGAATGTTTAAAGATCTTCCCAGCTAGATTTCTTTCAAGTTGCTTCAACAATTATAATTGTAGAATAGTATTTTCTAGCTCTGAAACATGTAATTAAATTCCTGAATGATGTCAATAGTTATTTCCATGTTGCTAGTTGTATTTAATTACTAATTGATGATCCATACCATTTAAATAGTTGGCGTGTTGCTTCCACAATTGTTGCACCTGGAATTGCGTCCATCGATTGTTGTCATCGCCTCCAGCATTATTATTATTATTGTTGCTATTGTTGTTTGTATTGTTATTATTGTTGTTGTTGTTGTTGTTGTTGCTGTTGTTGATAACACCCACTAGGCTATTTACCAAACTATTCTCATGCGCCTGTTGTTGTTGCGCCACCGCGGAGGCGGTGTTAACTGTAGGCGTGGCATTGTTTGTTGCCGTTAGATTGGCATTTGGTGTGGCTGGATTGTTGTTGTTGTTGTTATTATTATTGTTGTTGTTGAGGGAGGCATGGTTATTAATTATGATATTGAGATTGTTGTGATTGAGTATGTTATTATTATTATTGCTGCCTGGACTGTTGCCCGTGCTGTTGTTGCTGTTGGCATGTTGCTGCTGCTGCTGTTGCTGTTGCAGGTTGTTGGCTGCTACTGCCACCACAGCAGCGGCTGCATTCACATTTACATGCGCCAGATGTTGCAGATGATGCTGCAACAATTGCGTGGGCGGCGGCAATGAGCCATTGGCAACGTTATTGCCATTGCTAAGATTGTTGAGCAGTTGCTGTTGCTGCTGTTGTTGCTGTTGCTGTTGCTGCTGGTGTTGCATGTTGCTGCGGAGCAGATTGTTGTTGCAGGCCACATTGAGATTCGAATTGCTGGTGTTGCTATTGGCATTGCCCGTGTTGCTGCCGTTGCCGGCCAGCAAATGCGGCAGATTGTGCACTTGCAGTGGCAAACTGCTGAGCGGTGGCAATGCCGCCGTCTGCGACATGTTGCCCAGCAATTGTTGCTGCTGGTGTTGCTGTTGCTGCTGCTGCTGCTGTTGCACATTCTGCAGCAATTGCAGCTGCTGTTGCTGGTGCTGCAGGCCATGCTGCTGCTGCTGTTGCTGCTGCTGTAGCGCCAATGCTGGCGGTGGCATTTGATAGTCCATTCTCATTGCTGAGATCACAATTTGTTAAATTCCTTGTTCAATTCAAAGTTATTTATTGCATATATCACTTAGCTGGCCATGTGTGGCCCAAACATGTTGCTGCTGCGGCACTGGCTGTTAACTTAATTAACAACAAATTGGAATTTAAAACCGAATAAAGCTTTTTATCGCACGTTGCCGTAGCTGTTGCTGCTGCTGCTGCTGTTGCCGCTTCTAATTGCTTGTGGCGATCGCCCGCACAGCAGCAACATCAGCCGGAGAGCGAGCTTACACTTGTACACTTTGATACTCAGAATATTGCGAGTGCTTTGGCTTAGTTTTTGTTGTCGTTTTTTTTTTTTTTGCATTCGCAATTTTTCTATTGTTTGTTTTGTTTGCCTTTTTCTATTATTATTCGTTGTCAACTATTCCCCGTACTGAGCGTTGTTTTATTTAATTTTTTGTGACTGTGTGTGGGGCTGGGCCCGCTTGCTAAGGGGTTCAGTTCTCGCTGCCCGCCGCTTTTGAATGAGAAAAGTTTGACCTTGAATCGGCAAAACAAAAAAAACCACCCAGCAAAATGTTTTGCTATGCGTTTTTGCTATTTGTCAGCCTGATCGTCGCACTTATTTTCTGTGGGTTGACGTTCAAGCGAATATTTTGTTATTGCATATATTAATTCTTTTCTTTTGCGAGGGAATGTTTGCGATGTTGATAAAAAAAAAAAATTCGATAAATTGTTTATTGACAGTTCAATTCAAATATTGTTTTCTACATTTTTGACTTTAGATGCAATTTGTTTTGGTTTTTATTATGGTTTCCTATTTCATGTAAAATATATTTTTGGCATTCGAATTTAATTTGTAATATATTAAAATTTTAAAGTGTCAATCTATTTTAAGCTTTAAATAATTTTTATAACAAAAAATGTTTAATATATTTGCTTTTGGTTTTAAGTTCAAGCTGTTTATTTCCTTAGATTTTTATTAGCTCCCTTTGTAATAATATTTGCTTTGCAAACTTATAAGCACCTTTGATTTACTTCTGTCGTTTTATTTTGTATATTTTTGTGATGTTTTATGTACTCTGATTTTCATATAAATTCTTTTTTTTCCATTCAGGAATTTAAAGCATTTTTTTAAATTTCACTTTAATGATCGTGAGGGATCATAAATTTCTGGTATTCAGGAGATCATTTAATTTCGAGCACTGCACAATTCGTTTTAATCCAAAATGAGGGATGCTTTTAAGAGGATCGATCCTCGTTGGGTGGAAGATAAAGGAAACGAAAGTTCACAAGTTCGCACGAATTCGAAAGCGTCGTGCTAAAGACGAAGACACGCGTCGTATACGTATTATTTTATGGCTTTTGCTTTCGGCGGCTTGGTATTGGTGAGTGGGCTTTGAGTTTTCGGGATTGGTTGGTTGGCCATATATTATTTGATTTGGTTTTTTGGTTTTGCTAGAGAGCCGTGAACCGAACCGGTGCCGCCGGACTGCGAACGTTGAGTGAACGCGCGCGTCGAATTTGCCATGCAACGCAGCTTCAGCTTCGCAGCTGAGCAGAGAAACAGAGAAAACCAGAGAAACAGAGAAAAGCTGGGACAGCGAGAAAAAGAGCAAAAGAAACAACAAATAAAAGCCAAACTTGAAACCGAAAGCATAAAAGCCCACGGCACCATGTCTTTCTCCTTTCTCCCCGCTCGCTTAGTTTTTTTTTGCGCATTCCGCCTGTTTACTTTCTTTCGCGCCGCCTGCCAAAGTTCGCCTCTGCCGACGTCAACGTCGCTGTCGCCACGCTTGGCGGGAGCTGTGCTGCCGACGTCGACGTCTATGCGGAAGCAGATTTTCCGCTGCCGACGCAGGCAGCAGCTTTGTTTTGAGTCGCTCGCAAAAGCTTTTCGCTCGCTCGTCTACTTGAGTGCGATTTTCTGGTCTCAAGTGATGGGTTTTTTACACTTTTTAAAGTATATAGAAAATTACTATGAAAAAAATATTTTATAGAAAACCATTACTTTGATAAAAATAGTTTGATAACTTTTAACAATTTTTAATTTATTGTGAAAGAATAAATACAATACAAATTTTATCTATTATAAGAATCCATGTTGTAAATAAAGTAAAAGAAGCCGTTGTCTTAAAAATATTTAAATAAAAAAAACGTACGGTTTTAAAGTGAAAATATAAATATTTATAAAGATTAAATACAGTTTATTTAAATAGCCACAACTTTGAGTATAAACTGCGATTTACAAATAAATTTACGTTTGGCTTTAATGGAACTTTTATTGATACGAATTGTGTACCCCAAGCATTAAAACTAAAAACTTTATTTCCTTTCAATGTTTAATGTTAGTGAATGATACAAGACAAAAGCTTACCAGCAAAATGATTAACAAACATACAAATACTAACACTCCCGGAAAAGGGAAACTACAGTCCAAAAGTTTGGGTTGGATGCTTACCTGTAAAGAGAATAAAAATATATATATATTATTAAAGTGCTGCTTTAATACACAAATGAAAATGAATTTAAAAAACGTTATTAATTTATTTATTAAAATACCTAGGAAATAAAGCAATTGTATTTATTTGCGATAGATCAAAAGAACACAAGTGAGAATTAATTGACAGATATTTGGTTCTGTCAAGGGTGGCGGAAATTTCCCATGCATGGGGTGCCCACCCACAACGACAACTGACATTTATCCATTTTAGCTTTCCCCACTCTACCCACACAACAAATAAAACGAATTTCATACAAATTATTATACATTCCGCCTTTAAAAGGTCATTTCCAGTATATTCAATAGCGAAAAATTTCACCGTCACAGCGAAAAAGCAACAAACAATCGAGAGGGAGAGCTGGAAGACCACCCACATTTCATTTGAAATATGCATTTCCATATCATCTGTCATAAAAATCTCATCAGCCTAATTCCGAAATCTAATCAAACCAAATGCATTTTCTCAACGTTGACCAACTGAGGTCAGTTAAAAAAAATAAGAGGTGGAAAAACCATGGAAAAATCATGAAAATTGGTGGCAGCTCAGTCGCGATTTTCAAAAGGATTTGTGCCAAATGCATTGACTAAGTAGATCAAAAAGGGTGAAAGGATGTGCCAAAAAGAAAACTGAAATCTAGCAGCATTGAAAAAACTTTTAGTCTGGCCTAAAAAAAAACCAAATGCCACACAGATGTTCTCGTTTAATTACTATTAAATGAAAAATTTAACGGCATATGAACAAATTTTCCAGTTCCAATTGCTATACAAAATTAAAAATTCCCTTTGGAAAACTAAGATATAGACATATGTATATATAGGCACTTAACAGTTTAGTGTTATATACTAAATAAAGTTTTTTTAAACTGCAACGCAGTTTGGCCTAGGTCGCGAAAATAAATTCATTTTATCAATAAAAAAAAAGGAAATAGCTGAATTTAATGAAATTTCCCTTGTGGTAGGCTGCTAACCAATAAACTTGGCGATCCCTCAGTGCAAAGATACATTTGCCGATGTATTCACATTTCGAATTCCATTTCCTATTCAATTCGAACCGTCGACGTCAGTGAGTACAGTATATATGGACTATATATATACACATATAGTATAGTATACATTAGCCCAGCTGAGCTCACGTGTGCGCGGCAAGCTTTCTTGACTTTTGCGCTTTACAAGCTCGCAATGCGCAAAGTTCTCGGCCGCTGACGTCGGATGATATCAGCCCGCGGGATGCAGATAGACGTTCTACAGATATTTCGCGAAGGGCTTTTGGCATATATCAAGAGTTTGCAACGGAATAGTAATTTTCTAATACAAGACAAGCTTGAAGAAAAATAAAAAACCACCAAAATAGTCATACATTTTATCAGTTGTTTTCGGTTTCCATTGTATTTGTAATGTACTTTTCTGTATTTACTTACAAGGCCAAGTAACTATTCAGAAAACTATACTCAACTAATGTTAAATCCAACGAGAAACACTTTGAATAACTTATACTATAGCGTTAGGGAAACACATAAACATTCGAGTTTTAACTATTATTAATGAACGGTTTTAGGTACTAATTTTGTGCACCCTGTTTTCCTTAATTTTCTTGTAGCTTTCAGAATATTTACCCTAATATTACCCCCAATTTTCCAGACTTTTTCACCTCACCTGTGTTGGCTGGCTGAAATCGGGACTTTAGGCTGTTCAAATGGTTGTGATGCTCGTTGGCGATCACGGCTGCTGCCACGGCATTTGCCACATGTTGCACGGAGGACACATTGCTGTTGCTGTTACTATTGCTGCTGTTGTTGTTGTTGTTGCTTTGGCCGGGATTCCCAGTATTTGTATTACCAGTTCCCACTGCAGCAGGATTATTATTGCCACTGGTATTATTTCCATTAGAGCCCTGATTGCCACTTGCAACTGCTGTGGATGCTGCAACAGCAGCAGCACTGCAACCGGCAGCTGTTGCAGCTGCAGCGGCATTGCTCTGTGGATCCATGAAGGAGTTGCGCTGGTAATGGTGATTCTCCTGGTAAATCCGCTGATACGCCAGCGTGGGCAGCGTCCACGAATTGTTGGTCTTGTAGTGGAAGTTGCCGGTGCCAAAAATGGAGTGGGTGTTGGTATTGCCATTGGTATTTCCCGCTGCAACAGCAACAGCGGCCGAAGAAAGTGTATGGGCCAGCTGGGCGGCATGATGTTGCTGCTGTGCATGCTGCTGCTGATGTTGGTGGTGTTGTTGCTGCTGCTGCTGCTGTTGTTGCTGTTGCTGCTGCTGCTGCTGTTGTTGTTGCTGCTGTTGCTGGTGTGTATGATGCGGATGAAGCGTATGGCCAAGATGTTGCTGCTGGTTGTGATGCTGAGAGTGTTGCTGTTGTTGATGCAGGACAGCGGCAACATGCTGCTGGTGTGCTTGATGCTGCTGGTGTACGTGTTGTTGGTGTTGCTGCTGTTGCTGGTGTTGCTGGTGGTGCAATGTCCAGGCATTCACGCCATTGTTGCTAGCGGTGCTGGTGGTTCCACCTCCACCTCCACCTCCTCCAGCACTGCTTTTACCCGAATCATTGCTACTAACACTACTGCGATGGTTGTCCATTGTTCCCGAGGATCCTGTCATGCTGCCATCATTGCCACTATCGGAATTTCCGCTGCTGCTGAGGTTGCCACTGCTGTTGTTGCCACCGCTTGTGTTGCTGCCATTGCCACTATTCACTGCCGCTGCAGCAGCAACTTGAGAGTTAAGTTGCTGGAAATACTGCGACAAGGTGGCATTGGCATGCTCCTGGGCAAAAAAACTGGTACACGAATTCGTATCCGACGACATGGTCACTGGTTCTTTAAACTGGGTCCGATATTCTCACTGGTTAACCCTTTCACTGGTTATGGAATTTCACTGTTTTCCTTGTGATCTTAGGTGATCACCTCCTTGTGCTGAACGTGATTGAATTTGCTTATCAGCAGTATAAACTTTGGGCCACGGCCGAAAGTTGTGCGCATTGTCTTTACACTTAGTTTCACTGTAGTTTTAAGTGCAACATAAACTTTTGTCTGTGCTATCTGAAAATATTGTGCTTCCGGTTTGAAAACCCAGATTAGTGTTGAGCACTTTTTGTGTTTTACTTCTTTTTACAGCCAATTGATAGCCAATTTGTTGTTGCTAATGAACAGGTGATAGTGGGTTAAAATTGTTGAGAGTGATTCAGTGTTCAGTATAGGGAAGCGATTTTGATAGTGACTGATAATGAGCTCGCTTGTTTTCGTGTAGTCAGGGAATGCACTTTGTTTGCGTCTATTTTTGTATGATTTTCATTTAGTTTCCATTATTTTTTATTGATGATCATGATGATAAGGAATAAGAAAAGGCATTGTATAGTTGTATAGTCTGCGCTTTCTTTTAGTTCAATTAACTTTGTATAATATGATTTTTGTGACGCTATTTCTAAGTGGAATCAACCGGTACAAAGGCTATCCGTGTTTTTCAAACAATTTTCGCCATGGAAAATTTCAAGAACATATTTAAATGTGAACAAGCGAATTCTTATTTGCCAAATCAATAATCGAGACAAAGGTTTATTCTTTAAATAGTTTCTATACATAGATCAAAACAAATAAATTATTATTTGCCAAATCAATTGAATTATCCTTTTTTTCTGATGAATAACTCGTTTTTCTCTCTCAGCCTTTTGTTGAATACCTTTTCTTATTCTCAGAATTGGTTGCTGCTTAGAAATGAGATCGCTTTTTGCATTGGGTTTTTTGTTGTTTCGGCTTTGTATTTTTCTTTCTTGGGCTTGTTGTTTTGTAGAAAAATTAAAAAAATTAAACTGTTTGAAATTGGATCCGTAACTTTGACGTCGATGGACAGAGATTCTCGAGGGATCTCCCGATCTCTCGTTTTTTCCCTCTCTGCCTGATACTATCTCTCTTTCTTTCTTTCTGCGTATTTTTTCCTTTTCAATAATAGTTGTTAATTTTTATGACACACACAGACACTTTAGATTAATTTCACAATATATTGCACTTGATTTTTATTTAGCAAAAATGACTTGCTTGGGTTAAAGTTCTTCCAGAACTTTTTATTGTGTGTTGAAAAATATGTTTCAATTAGTTTGTTTTGTTGGCGTTAGGAATATTTTTGTTTTTCCCGCTCGATTGGAAAAAAATCACGGAACGCGCAGCGACGATTTTCACATGAGAACGCGATGCGACAGAATGCCGGCCGAGTAATTTGCTCGGTCTCAATGTCCGTCTCTGGTTTTTCTCTGCCGCCGCTGCAGTCGCCGCTGCAGTCGCCGCTGCAGTCGACGCCTCTGCCACCGCTACCGCTCTCTCAGCCAGCTAATATTGCAATTTTCTGCAAGTAAGTCGGCTTACGTAAAGGGCGGAGGTCCGAAAACAGCTCTCCCTCTCCGACTTTGTTAATTGTTTTTCAAGTTTTTTTATCAAATGTTGGTACCGCAAAATATTTGTATTCATACAAGAGAATATTAATACATACAGACAGCTGGGCTCAAAATAATAGTATTGGACATATGTTAAATGTCCTAATTACCATAAACATTAAACCTTTCAAAATATTTTTGAATTGCTTTTTAAAAGACAAATTTTGAAGACTTCATTATTTTCTTTTAACTTGCCTATAAATATTAAAACTGATTATTAGTTCTTAAGTTTACCAATTAAAGCAAGAGCTTAAAATAATTATACAAAAAACCTTAATAAAAAAAACTTTTTAAAGGATAACAAATCTGTTTAAAGTCTAAACAATTTTTAATAATTAAAAGGTATTCAAGTTTTTAAAAATACAAAAGACCATATTTATATATTATTTTTATTCTGTATGTATAAAGGTATACCATAAACTATTTTTTGCCTGCACTATTTGTTTAAGAAAAAGCAAATACTGCTATTATTTTGAGCACAGCTATATATATTTGTATATACCTGGGGACAGAGGCAGCGACGTCGGCGTAGGCAGCGCTGCTGCCGCCAAGTCACGCGGATTTCAATATGACCCAAAGCCCACTGTCTAGCACAGTTTTAAGCACGTGTTGCGGACACACCGGCCACACACACAGTCGCAAATTAATTGCGAGAGAAAGAGAAGTGCACGTTGAACAGCAAGCGCACTCGAAGATACATATAGGCAAACACAGATACACATATAGATAGGGTAGCAGATAGAGATACGAATACAACTCAAAAGTTTCCAGTCGCTTCGCAATAGAGGGCTTTATCTCACCCCCTGTACCTGATATATATATATATATATATATATATGGTCAATACACTTCATGTATCAGCTGGAGTGCGTGGACGTTTAATTCGGCAGTGATGCGGCTGTAAAACGTGACGTATGCGTAATGTGCTTCACGGGATTGCCTCTGTGCCACCTACTAATTAACGCTGCGTCATGGAATGTACGTAGGTCTCTCGGGGGGAGTGGTTGGGGGTCTAGAGCAGGGTGCTTCACCCTATGGGTAAATCCAAAGGCACGGCGTAGTAGCTGCAGCTCAGCGTATACTTAATCTCAAAAGAGCAAAACTATTGGCGTATTCAAACTATTGAGGTTTAACTCAGGTTTCCAATGATTTTAATAATTATTTGCTGTTGGCATAGGTCCGGTAAACTTTCTAAGAAATTTGTATTTTCCGGTTATTTTCGAGCCGTTCATAACATAAGAAATATTTTTTTACGTAGAGCATAGATAAATTATAGAATTGCTTAACTATGAATCAGATTTCCCAGAACCCTAAAAGTCTGTTTAATTTAATTTTATAAATTTCTCAATGTAGTGATTAAACAATTTAGTTTGTCTTAAAAAGTTTTAAAACAATATATTTTTTTTATTCTATGAAATACCAAATTTATATATTTATTATACTACGTTGAAATATTACCATTTAATAGTTATAGCTATGTAGGAAATTAATAAATGTTAAATACATATATAATTTCGGATTTCTTCACACTACATAAAATCAATTCTGGTTAAATTCAAAAAATACTGATCAAATTTTTAAAATTTTAAAATGAGGTTTCATAAAATTATTATTTTGCCACTAATCCTGATCTTTTCAAATAACATTTCAAAAGTTTTCCTTTTATGTTAGCCAATTCAAGTAAATCCCAAGAACACCTTGACAATTCTTTCACCCCGTAAAACTATTCTATTCTCCCTGGGTTTTCAACCTTGGGCTATCCCTCGGTCAAACAATAGCCCTCTTGCTTTTAAGAAACCCAGTCAGCCCTGAAAACAAGTCAATCTGGATAAACGTGGAACATGTGGAAAAGCGTGCTTTAGTCACCTGTTTTCCCAGGCGAGACAACGTTGGGAATATTGAGTATACGCCCCGTTAAGTGACTATTTTGGGAACCGAAAAAGCAACAAGTCATCAAAAACATCGGGAAGTGGAAAGCCGAAACCCGAACTTGGCTTCGGGTTCCTGCCAATGGCAAAAGGATGTGCGGCAGAGGTTCGCTATTGGCCGGGCTTATATGCCGGAAAAATCGAGAAAAGGGAACCAATCCGGAGAGTTCTGCCAACGCGGGCAGAGGCAGTGGGCTACGTCGGCAGCGACGCTGGCTGTGGCGGCAGCGTTGTCAGGTTTTCTGTTTGTTTTGTTGTCAGTTGTTGTATTTTGTGTTATCACGTTTCGCTACCACGTGCACCAGCCCCCCATTTGGTGGTGTGTGTGCGCGAATGCCTCGCTCACACTTAAGCTCCTCCAAATACCCACTAACACATCCGCAGTCCGCACTCACATAGATACGGCCTGGCGCTTCGACGGATGAATGAGCCCTGAGAGCGGGAGAACTCGCTAAGCAAAACCCAACTGAGTCGAAGACGAAGCTATTGCTGGTTTATAAATAGCAGTTTAAAGCATCGCACACACATCTACGTATCGAATCAATGAGTCACACACACTCACACGCCACTGTTTTGCATCTAAAGAACAAAAAAAAATTGAACCAAACACACTGCATAGAAGTGCAAATAAAGCAAGTTGTGCAAAATAAATATCGAAAACAGAAACAGAAAGTAAACAAAATAATTGCTGCAATTTTTGAGCAGGCATGCAAAAAACAATTGTATTAAAAAAAAAAAAGTATTTTAATACCTTACTAACAAAAAAATAACAAATTTATGTAGGGAAACTGAAAAACATTCAACAATATGTGTCACTATAATTTATGGCAAACATATCATACACGAAAAAGAAAAAAGAAAAGAGAAACATATATATATATATAATTGTTATTGATTTTTCCATTTAACATTCATTTTTGAATACAATAATGCAAAACTGAAAATATTCGAAAATGTTGTGGAAATTTTTGTGCAACAATAAAATGTCGCCGCAGAATTGAGCCACTAACACGAAGACAAGGTATGACACGTCAAACCTTAATTAAACTTTCTGTGATTTGCTGTGTTTGCATGGAAACCGTCTGGGGTTCTGTTTCCATATAGGGGTATTATGGATCCGCTGGAGAGCGGGGTGTATGGGTCTGTCATGGCGACGTTCAAGTCATTATACACGTGTTTAGAGCAGCAGGTCGTAAATTAACATATTGCTAAATAATTATTTAGAAACGCTGAAATGCTTAAACGTTTTTTACGATAGCACAACTGGCTTATTAAGGGCCTCCAACCCGTTGACCCAAATAGTGCAACTACGATGGCTAAATAGAATTATATACTTAGAACATTTTCGTTGGACTAAATAAGGGCGACTACCTATGCCGTTTTAATTATAGTTTACATTTTGAACGAAAGCCTGAATTAAAAACATTTATAAACTAATAATTAAGTAATTAAAAGCATAATTAAAAAACTGTAAGTGTAAATCATAAAATGTTTTAAAAAAATTGTTTATTAATTTATTTTAATAATTTCAAAACTGAAACATTTATTTTTCAAAAAAAGCTTTTTTAGATTTTATTTATTTAATAATTAAAAGAAATGATTCTTCAGAAACACGTTGATCAATTACAAATGTATAATATAATTAAAACGATAAAATAATTGCTAAGGTACATTAATGTGCGAAATAGTTCGATAACCTAAATTTTAAAACATCATTTGTTTGAAACTTATCTAATTAACACGCTTGATGCAGTTTCTTTCAAGGTTTTCAACACGCCATATTCTCATTAATAAATTTGGTATAATCCAATCTCTTTAGTTTATTTTTGTTATAACTTTCATTCATTGGCTGGATATTCCAAAGTCAAACATGCGCCATATCTATGAAACCGCAGTTGAAACTTACCGGCTTTATGGAACAAGTTAACAGAAAATAAAAATTATATTGCGGGCGGCTTATCAGTAAGAAACTTGGCCAACAGGTTGGTTTGCCTTGCCGCTGACCAGACAATAAACTGAAATTCCATATCTACAACCAGACAATTTTTTTTGTCGGCGAATCAGGTGCAAAGTTGAAGTTCAGCAGTCGGAAATTGATTTACGTAATTAAAGTTGAAGGGAGTGAGGCGGGCAGAGGAAAGTTCCCCCCTTTGGCCTTATCACCTGGCACTTTGGACTGGAAATTCGAGTAGCCAGAAATGTTAAGAAATGGCATCGTACCTAAAGTCGTCGCCTGGCCAAACATGTGACCCTTGTGGAAAAAAGGGGGCGGAGAAAAGCAAAACAACATACCAAGAAGACGTCAGCAATCTTGGCAATATGATTTCGATTACAATTGTTGTCGTAGGCTGAGGCGATATAAATTATAATTAATCGCTAACGTGGCGTATGCGCGATATCCAAAGAAAATTGTCGAAAGGGGGGCGGAAATGTTTTGTTCATTAAACAACTGTGCGCACGTGTTTCACCCAACGGTCTTGCGTCCGCTGCTGAGCTCTAATGTTTGAGCCGTCTGCTGGGGGTGGATGGGCGGCAGTGGGGAGGCGGTGGGTGGCAAGGGAAACTTCCAGACAAGCTGCCTTCAGCAATAAACGAAACACGAGTATGCGCTCTCGCCGTCCAACTGAGAACGAAAGCTAAAGCTTTATCAAGCTTTTTGTTTCAGTTTTCACTAAACATCCACTAGGTGGCGCAAAAGCTTTTGATCAGGCACAGTGGAACGAAACATTCTAAGTTTTGTGATTCAAATGGTTTAATATTTTATCATAAATCCCAAATAAAATTCCTTTCAACAAATATTTTTTACTGACTTAAAGTTGAAACTTTTTCTCAAATAAATTAATTTAATTAGTATAAAAAATTCGCTAAGCAAATTAATTTATGTTCAGTAATTAACACATTTGTTTCTGGTTAAACCGCATTAACACAATTAAAATAAAATAAATTGGAAGACCAAACATCATTTATTTTAGATATATCTACAAGTAAACTTTCAAAAATTTTAAATTTGTAACAGAACAATAAAAACATTGCTTAAGGGAAAATAAAGTAGAACAGTAGAACATTTCATTAAAACAGCCATTACTGATTTATCGTTAAATGAGTTTATAATAAGACCAATTTGTTCTGAAATTAATATAATTATATAGTACATAACACATCAATCTGCCCATAGTACAAAAAAAAGAAAATGCAAACAAAGGGAAAATAATTGGAGTGAAAACATTTTTTCGACAGCGTGAATTAAAATGGTTTTTTTGTGCCCAAAAAATGCTCGCCGGGGTTTATTTTTAGCTTGATTCATTCAGAAAATGTCAATGGTTGACAGTTGCCAGTTGCCGGCGATAGATGGCGCCACAGTAGCAAAACTAGAAATTACATTTTCAAACAAAATTCTGAAACGTGTCTGCGGCGAAAAAGTGAAGCAGCTGCCTCGATGCTCAAAATTCAATAATTTAAAAAACAACAAGATTTTGCCTAGAAATACACACACCCACACATTTATATTTATTCTTGTATTCTTGTATTCCGTTTCCATTTCATTTAGTTTTTTGTGCTCTCAAGAATTTCTAGACACTTTGTCTTCTGACAGTTCTAAATGTGTAAAACATTGCTTAAACCTAAAATAAAATCAAAGGCATTCTCCACGCGTGTTGCCTTTACTCAACTTACGTCGCCCAATAACTAAAAATATAGTTTTCATATTTAAATATACATTTAGATACTTGTTTCGATGTCTTTCCGTTTGGAAAAACTCAGCCAATGACAGTTTCCTGCGTTTCGCTCTCAATAAGCTTGTAATGGAAATTAACCCTTTGTTGTCAGAAATGATGCAACCCGGGTTTTAAAATTGTCGTTCACATGAAAACTACTTTGAACTAGTAAAAAATTTTGTTTGCATGCACATCTCATCTGCCGCTTAACCCCTTTCTGTCCCCCGATTTTAGCCCCTGAACTGTGAGTGGCGTTAATTGAGCTCTTTATTGTTGTTGCTGCATTGGCATTTTTTTATTTTTTTGTAATTGCCGACGAGTGTTAATTAACTAAGCTGTCGGTTAGCATATAAAGTTGAAAGTGGAAATGAAATGTTTTGGGAATTAATAGAGCGGCATTGAAAAAAAGATTTAAATTGTGAAACATTAAAAACAAGAAAGAAAGCAAACTTCGGCAAACCGAAGTTCATATACCCTTGCAGCTATCGCAAGAATTAAATATTTTTGAAAACATTAAAATTATGATTTACTTGCGTATTTAAACCATAATTCTGAAATATTTAACCATTGCTATATGTCGAAGAACTAAAAAAAAATTAAAAAACAGCAAAGTTATAATTTTTTTCAATTATTTTTCCGATTGTTCCTATGGGAGCTATATGCTATAGTCGTCCGATTTTGATGAAATTTAAACCATAATTCTGAATTATTTAACCATTGCTATATGTCGAAGAACTAAACAAAAAATTAAAAAACAGCAAAGTTATAATTTTTTTTCAATTATTTTTCCGATTGTTCCTATGGGAGCTATATGCTATAGTCGTCCGATCCGGCTCGTTCCGACTTATATACTACCTGCAATAGAAAGACAACTTTTGGGAAAGTTTCATGCAGATAGCTTTAAAACTGAGAGACTAGTTTGCATATAAACGGACGGACAGACGGACAGACGGACGGACAGACGGACAGACGGACGGACAGACGGACATGGCTAGATCGACTCTACTAGTGATGCTGATCAAGAATATATATACTTTATAGGGTCGGAAACGTCTCCTTCACTGCGTTGCAAACTTCTGACTGAAATTATAATACCCTCTGCAAGGGTATAAAAATGTTATTTCGAAGAGCCATAACCAAATTTATGTAGGACTTTTTTTTTGTGTTTTCAATTATATTCCAAATTTACTTCTTGTTTATACTCACCATTTTTTTACACAAACAAATAAATTTTCGTAAAGAGCTCACTCACCTGCAAAGAATCCAAGAAAAAAAACAATTTTAATTAAAATCAAAGTAGCTTGTAAGTTAGGGGCATTAGAAGGAAGAAAGAAAACATTTTGTAACATGGATATATGATTAAATTTTACAATTTTCCGTTTGTATAGAAAATAGAAAAGAGACTCGAGTTAATTAACGAAGAACACGTTCATGTTCAAAAAGTAAAACTGAGAAAAGTCTCAAATAAAGGCAAAAGAAAAGTGAAATGTGTTTACAGCTACTGGCAATCAATGAAAACATTAAATGCATCTGTCAAGAATGTTAAGACAATTTTTCGATATGCACATGAAAACTAAAAGACCATTGCACTTGTCTTTTTCGCAGTTTTTTTGACACAATTCCAAGTAATTAACAAAATTCTTCCTCACAATAGTGGCAATTGAGAAACCATTTATGCGAGAGCTGAAAATAAATATGAATAATATCTTTTATTGGTTTAGCTGTGAGAAAATGTTTTGCGCACTTTTGTTGGCTCATTAAGTGAGCAAACATATATTCGCATTTTGCATTTTATGGCCATTTGGCAGATGATTAGAGGGATGCACATGCCTCATACGCCCAGTTCGCCATTTGAAACGTTTCGTAGTAACAAATGTTCACCACTCCCCCATACCGCGGCAAATGCAATTTATTCTTTGATCAAAGGCCAAATTGAATTTTCTATTTCATTTCCCACAAGCCAGGGCAGGAATTTCGAAAAATTTTAAAACATATTCGTCCACATCCATCAGACATTTCTGCCGCCGTCCTCGCCTTTAAGTTTTTATTTTTCCGTTTTGTTTGCGTTCACTTGGGGCAGGTGTATTGTATTTACTATGAGTGGGTGGCTTGCCATTTGGGCCGCACACAAATTGTTTTTCCTTAAATTTTTTTTTATTCTATTCGTGGCCCATAAATCCATGAGCAATCTTTGCAAATTAATTGGGCAGCAAATTAGTTAAAAGCTGTGATTGCTTACAAACGAATTAGCTCAATTCATTTGTAGTTCAGTGGGCTTTAATATATATTTACTTTTTAAAGGTAACAAAACAAGTCGAAACTTTCCTTACCAGTTTCGCGATTTTTCCTTCGCAAACTCAAAATAGCCTGCACTTTTTGCTTCCAACACTTTCCACCAACCACTGGAATTTTCGCCATTCTTTTAATTCGAAAAGCCAACAATTGCTTTGATTTTCCTGCCATTTTCCGGCCAACCAAACCGCAATTTAATTGAAATGAAAACCAAATTTTAATGAAGCAAACCATTAAGCGACACCAGGCAGACTGATGGAAATGTGAGAGGCTGACGAAGGATCCTCTGGGGGTGGATTTTTCATTTCACAGTTTTCCTTTTGTTTTATTCGCAACCCCCTTTAGGCTGGGTCCTACATTGTCGCTGTTCTCGTTGCTACTTTAAGTGTTTTTTGTTTGCAGTTTTCCGTCTGTCTGTATTTTCCCTTTTTTTATTGTGTTTTTTTGTCTTTCAATGAATTGAGTGGGGCA